CCCCCCTTTTTTTTTTTTTTGGTACTGAAATTAAACTGTTAGGCTAGTTGTTGCATGAATAAAAAGCTTAGCTTTGTTGACTTTGAGCTTAGTGTCCCGTGTAAGGATGGGTCTTTATATGATTTGCCTGTGGCGTGCTGTATCTCAGGGGTCTGTCTTAACATCATCTTCTTTTTCACTGTTTCTGTCAAATGTTTTTGGGGAGTTTTCAACTAATAGCAAAATACCAATTAATCTCAAGTTATACAAGATGGTTGTTTCAGGGACAAAGTTCCCATCTATCAGCACTTGCATCATCCAATTAAGCACAAATACATTCCCACCGCATGGTCTGTGGTTGGACCATGCCATTGTTGAACAAGTTAAACAGCATATTGATGAAAAACAAGGAAAACAACATAGAATATCTACAACAAAGGACTAACAGGAAAAGGGTAGACAATAATATCTTTGTAACCATATCCATCTTTAGTGAAGAGATCGGAATAGGCTCTAGCTGTTCCTGCTTCACTGGGTCAGCCAGGGTCACTTGCATGCTATGCCGTGGTTGCAGGTAATCATAATCTCTTTGCAGTCAGCATACAGGGGGTCAGCATCCTACTGTTGGATGTAGACGTAATCTCCAAGTTGGAATAAATGAACAGGAGTGTTTCATCTTACGGGTTTGGATTACAGAATGAATCTGTGGAATTTCTGCAAAATAGAGCCTAGACTATTAAACAATTTTCACAAAAGAATTTCAAATTTCAGAATTTTTGTAACTTGACTGTACAAGAGGAAAATAGGTTTTATAGTACAAAGTGGTTGGCTGTCAGTTACTAATAAAAGGCTGCAGAGAACCATGTAGGACAAAGCAGGTAGTGCAATACAATCTGGCACCAGGCACTGTCACTGCTTGTGTTAAATGGTCAAAGTCTGTGTGCTGTGAAGAACCCAAGAGCATTAAGAGCATAAAGAAAAATATTCAGGACATGATCAAAAGTCACTCAATTACGGCATGCAGTAAAGGAATGCACAAGTTAGATAAAGCATTCAAACAACAGAAACCATCATGCTATGAAGTTAGCAGTCTATTGAAAGATTGTGGGCATGATGCGAGCTAGGGCCTATGGGGGGAAAAGGAGGGGGAGGTCCAAAAAACCTCAACCTTTCATTTACAGCTTTGCTAACTAGTCACTGTCTTGCTTTCTAACACAGGGCTCTTTTTCTGTGAGGCTCAGCACTTCATGCATTGTTATTTATAATCTTGTGTGGAGTTGTAAATTAAAAGATTTCTTTTATATGTTGCAGCAGTCAGAGAGGAGAGAGAGAGATTTTAAACAATGCTTGCCACTTGCTATAAAACTCCTGGGATAAAGCATATGCAAACAATATCAACTTCCATGAGAGACAGTAGAAATATAATATCAATAACTATAGTATTGTCTGGTAATTTGACAGTATTATTCAAACTACACTAGCAATCCATTCTTTTAAAGTTTTTCCAGTTTGGATATTATGAAGTAAATTCACTGAAGATATCTCTAAAGCTAGTGAGAGATCTTCAAAAGTCAGTTGATATAGAATTTGGAGTTTGTTTTCAAATTCCAGCTAAATTCATAATACAAATTTAATCATATTATGACTTTCTATATTGGAGTCAAAATGTAAGTTTTAATCCTAACTCTGATTCTTGTTTACGAGCAATACAACATAGAACAATAAGTTAAAATACATTGTGGTATACCAATCTAAGAAGCAAAAACCTTCTTAGCTCTGGTAATATTTATTAAGGCAAGAGACCTGTTACATAAGAAAGAAAAAAACCAATGTATTTTGTTCTTTAAGATACATGGTCTGCACTGAATGGCCAATGTATGGCTGTGGTTGTTGTCCTGATTAATAGAAAAAATGAAAAAGCAACTAGAATAGTTTCCTTAATTTACTGTATTCTGCATCATCTTCCCACCTTCTGGTCAAGTTCGTTGGAGCCACAGATTGGCTCCTCTATTCATGAGAATTACTAATGACAGATTGAGAATGAATACATTTTTATTTGTGACTCTTTTCATTAATTTTAATATTATTTCTAACTTTTTGTTTGTTTGTTTTTGTTTTTTCTTTAAATCTCTACTGTGGTATGTGACTCAGGTTTCAGTTTGCAGTGTTTCGCTTCTCCTCCCCCTATCCTGTAGGCAGGGAGATTCAAAGCGAGACAGGAGCGGTTTTTTAGATTTTTTGCCCTTCCTCCCACAAACTGTAAGGCAAAAATATTTCTTTCCCCAATCAGAAGATTGCAAAGTTGCAACCTCTATAAAGCAGGAGGGTTCTACACCCCCCCTTTTTTTTTTTTTTTTTTTTGAGTTTGGCCAGAGGAGGTCTCCTACTCAGTTGCTCGGCAACAAACTATCTCTATTGTGAGAGCCACTAACACCTTATCTCTTTCTCTGCTAAGGCAAGGGCAAAGTTTTGCAAGAGGGCTTTTTATCCTTTTTGTCAAAACCCCGCTTTTTGCTTTTTTCTTTTTACTGAATACGATATTTTTTCAGAAGGGTTTTATAGGGGTAAAACAGCTAAGAATAAGGCATTTCACTAAGATTTTCGTACAAATACTCATTTCCCGGAAAAATTCCCTAAAACTGTCTGCATACTAGCTTGCAGGTAAATGCAAGTCTTTGGGTTTAAGTTATCTACAAGTGAGTAGAAGGACTAAAGAGAGAGATTTTGCGTTCTTTTCTCGGCCACTTGGTTTTCTTTCTCACTGCAGCCTCTGCTGCTGTTCCCGCTCGCTCTCCCCCCCACCCTCGCGGGGGGGGGGGAAGGGAAAGAGAACCCGCTGAAGTTTTTTAGTGTCTGTTCTCGCTGCTGCAGCCCCGAGCCGCCTCTCCGCTGCGGCTGCCGGCACCGGCGGCAGTTTGAATAATCTCAAAGGCAAATTCCTATGCTCCTGTGTCATCTGAGACACCTCTTCCGGACCCTCATCCCTGGGTTTTAACAGTTACTAACAAACCCATGGTCGCTTCTCCACACACACGCACAACCCCTAACACACACACACACGCACGGCATGGTTAACAACACCGTGAGCCCACAACGACACACTGGACAGACAACAGAGTCAACACGAGAGTTAATAGAAACACGGGAAAGCAGCCTTCTAGTCTGCTCCCCTTCTCAACAAGAAGTGATACTTTTCCGGGGTTGCTCCATCCCAGTTTCCCTCTGGGGCCGCTCCTGGTTTTTTCTTGCACCGTTACTGCCGGGCTGCTCTCCTGCCGGCTCTCGGACGCTCCTGCTTTACCCCCGCGGTGCTGCCTCGCCCTGCCTCTGCTACGCCGTGAGGGTTTTCCGGCCATAGCGTCTCTCTGGTGTTCGTCTGCACCACGATTCTGCACGGGGTGGCGGCGGTCACGGTTCGAATTCACACAGTTCGGTCGGGGCAGTGTGTGCCAGCAGGATGACTTCACGGCCGAGAAGTTTCCTAGTAGCAGTGAGGGTAATCAAGTCCCAAAGTCTATCTCCCAAACCCCGCCATTCCTCAAAGGCGAAAAGGAGAGGGGGCACTTTAAAGAAACCGTTTTCACAGGTCCAAGCAATAAGCTTGTCAAATACCTTCTCAGCTACTGTTTCACCTTGCTTAGCAAGGATAACTAACAGCAACTTTTTAGCTGCAGCAAACTCTGCTTCCATGCTTGCAGCAAATGACAGGGGGAAGGTAGCGACCCTTCCTACCTCGGTTCGCGCCGACTGGCCCACGACTGAAACTCCTCTGTCCAGCTTCTATCAGCCTCTCACGTCTCCAACCGCGTCTCACCGCAAGGAGATCAATCGGCTATCCGCATTCTTCTACCTTTTCGTGCTTTTCATCACCTTTCCGGGTGCCAGATAAAACGAGAAGATGCAAAAACGAGCTCGAGAGTCAGAGACACATCCTCATAGAGGTACAGTCAATGCTCTAACTTTATTCCAAAAATACACACATTATCAAGGGTCCTACAGGGTTCACACGCTCTATTCTAACTTTCTATTGGTTACATTTACTTTCACACACTATATCTATAACTTTATTGGCTCTACTAGCCAAGGCACGTTTCCAGGCCCCCCCATCTTCTGGTTTCTCACACTCTGGATAACAACCTCCTTCCTTGTTTTCCTCTATGCAGCTTTCTGATAGATGTTAGGAAGAAATTCTTTACAGAGAGGGTAATCAGGCATTGGAACGACCTACCCAGAGAGGTGGTGGATTCACCATCCCTGGAGGTTTTTAAGAAGAGATTGGACGTGGCCCTTAGTGCCATGATATAGTAATTGGAGTTGGATCAGGGGTTGGACTTGATGATCTTGGAGGTCTTTTCCAACCCAATCTATTCTATGATTCTATGATTCTATGATTCCAGGGATCTCACCTCAGTTCTCATGGTATTTTCACTTCAGGTGTCCTGTCTCCTCCACTGCCCACCCTTCCTATTCCATAATCGGCACCCCAGAGGCAGCTGCTGTGCATCCTTGTTAACACACGATGCTGCTCCCCCCCACTCCTTCCTTCAAAACCTCACGGTGGCATGGGAAAATTCAACAAGAAAATCTAAACCACAACATTATCCACCCCGAATTTTTTCATGCCAACATACTATATCGGATTTGAACTTTTCAGCTATACACATATATGCGTTATTCTACCTATATACACGTTCACAAATATATATACAGACACAGTGTTATGGACAGTTTACCCAAAAATTAGGTCCCCTTGAGGTATACATTGTGTTTCTCCATCTTTCTGCATCACCCACTGTCATGGTTTGAACTCCCCAAAAAATCCAAACTCCCCACTATTTGTTTCAGTGTGAGAGAGGTTTTCAGACATAACACAACTACTAACATGAGGAAATTATATCAAGATTTATTACTAACACAATAAATACTATAATACATTTATATACAACAATCCTAACTCTCTCTCCTATGGTAAAACAATATATTTACATTAGATCAAATCCCTCCTTTCCCCCATAAATGTCCAGAAGGAAAGAAGAAGAAATCTTTTTCACTTTCAGGGCAGCACAGTCTCTTCTTTATCTTCGAGGCAACAGTTTCAATTTGTCATAGCTGGAAAATATCTCTCTCTCTTCATTAGAATGCAGGGTTTTTTTCTCTCACCCCTCTCAGCCCTTCAGCTCCAACCGAAGGTCTCTCTCCCGTGGACTGCAAAAACAGGGACAAAGCTCACTTCACCACAGTTATATCACAAAGTGCAAGGCATTCCGTGAAAGTCCCTTTCCTCGGGGGGGGGGGGGGGGTCAAGTTTCCCCGAGTCAGAACAGTTTAGGAGCTCTCAGTTCAGTTCTTGCCCCAAGCGTTCTAGCAGAGTTTCTTTGCTCTGTTTCAGTTGCAAACATGGCAGGGGAGGGCCACTTCCCCCCCATTCCTTGGTCTGACTGGCCTGGTCTAGCTCACAGGACGTCTCCAAGTTCTCAGTTCCTCTCTCTCTCTGTTGGACATCTCTGCGTCTCTCAGCCTGGCCATGTGCCATATTTGCTGCTTGACGGTTATCTTCTTGGCTTTTAGCCACAGCTCTCTATTCAGTGCTGTCTCTGCCATTCCGGCCTCTTCTGCTGTTGCTACTGCTGTTAGTTCATTCTGCTTCCCGTGCTGCATGCACAGGATCATGGCCGCCACCCCTCGGTCTCGGTCGATCCAAGGCCACAACGTCACCCCTCCCGCTGGCAGTGGGGGGGTGGGGTGGGGAGGTGTGCAGTTTTAGCTCAGCATCCTGGCCCAGCTACAAAGTTGTGCTAGGTCCCACTAAGCCAGGGCTGGGGGAAGCCCCCAGCCCCCCAGCAGCTTGGTTTCTCTCTCCTCATGGTCTCAAACCATGACTGCCTCACCTTCCAGCTACGTATCCCTGTCTCCTTTTCTGGTCTGTTGTAATATGTTAATTTCACAGGGGCGAATTGCAGCTTCTGATTGGCTCTACACTAAGAACACT